GAATTTAAGAAGAACCAAGTCAGTTAAAATGTATAATGGAAGTGCTGAGATAAGGTTTAAGACAACTAGGGTTTTTTAATGGGATTTGCAACGCTACAGTGCCTCCTTTTGTGTTTCTGTTTATTAAAAGCAGATCTCGTCGAGATCAGCTAACTGGTAGGAACAGACGTGTGCCATACAGGTTGTGTACGCCCCTCAGCAGTCCGCATTTTGAAAGTGCATGCATGACCCCAGGATGTGGAGGTTCTAGAATTTTGAAAAGAAAATTCACCCTTCACTCAGAGTCTCAGAGTGGCTTACAATCTCCTTTCCCTTCCCTTCCCCACAACAGACACCCTGTGAAGTAGGCGGGGCTGAGAGGGCTCTTGCAAGGACTGCTCCTGAGAGAACAGCTGTGCCAGAGCTTGTGACTGACCCAAAGTCACACCATCAGCTGCATGTGGAGGGAGTGGGGAATCAAACCCGGTTCTCCTCGGTTAGAGTCTGCGCTCCTAACCCCTACACCGAACTGGCTCTCTCACCAAGCAGTTTCTGACATTTGCCTTGACTGGCATGTTTTCTTTCCTCGTACAGGAGCTGGAGGTGGCGTTTGTGCTCAGTCAACTGGGAGAATTCATAGCAGGGAAAGTGATCAGTATGAGCACCGATTTCCCTCTGTGTTGGCATTTGCCCATCTCTCGTAAATATGTCATAGAAGATATGTGATACTGTAGTTGTGTTTGCGAGACTCTTTATGTGGTTGGCGAATGCGTACCGCATATAAACGGCAACAGTAGAGAATCACAGCCCGAAGTTTCATATAGTAGAACGCCCAAAGCGCTGTCTATGCGCTAAGAACCAAGATTCCAAATGCTGTTTTGCATCCTTCTGCTTAGAGGGTCCGACTCCAACTTTAGACGCGCTTTATAATTATGAAGACTATTGACTGACTTGTTTACAGAACAGAATCATGCAGCACTTAAAACATTAAAAAAATGAAGTCTCGCAGTTTGAAAAGATACTTATGGTCCCGTTCGGATGAAGATTTACAAAACGACTCTGTAATCCGGAAAACTTTGTCAACTCTTACTCTACTGTTTTGGAACCTCTTTTCTCATATGTATATGGTTGTTCATTATTTATTGTGTTATAATACAGTATTGAATCATAGTGCATTTGGAATCTTGGTTCTCAGCACATATACAGAGCTTTGGGTTTTCTACTATATGATACCGCATATAAACAAGTTGTGTGGCTGGACTGGGCATGTTAAGACCATAAGAGAACCTAAGAGAAGCCCATGTTGGATCAGGCCACTGGCCCATCCAGTCCAACAATCTGTGTCACCACAGTGGCCAAAAGTACCAGGTGCCATCAGGAGGTCCACCAGTGGGGCCATAACTTCAGAAGCCCTCCCACTGTTGCCCCCCACAAGCACCAAGGATACCGAGCATCACTGGCCCAGACATAAGAACATAAGAGAAGCCATTCACGTTGCTTCATTTTTCTTATTAATACGAATAACAAAGTGGTGTCAGGTCACAGCCGCCTTATGGGGACCCCCTCATAGCGTTTCCAAGGCAAAAGAGGAACAGAGGTGATTTGCCACTGCCTTCCTCTGCACAGCACCCCTGGACTTATTGGGTGGTCTCCCATCCAAGGACTGAACCACGGCCAACCCTGCTTAGCTTCTCAGCTCTGACAAGCCTGGGCTAGTCCGGGCTATTCAAGCTGCTCCTGTATTTCTTATTGGCCAGTAAGTTCCACTTTATGCTTATGGTGATTTCCACACAGCAAAGAATTAACAGTGGGACGCTGTGATGAATACGTATGGAATTAAAAGCCAACGACACCTTCATGAACATTGCAGGCAGACCATGAGGAGTGATTCCATTAAGCAGCGGCTGGAGAAACACTGGTCAGGGATGCTCTAGGCCAGGGGTGTCGAACTCATTTGTTATGAGGGCCGGATCTGACATAAATAGGACGTTGTTGGGCCGGGCCACGTGTGTCATAAAATGTAATGCCAGGTAGCGGAGATATAAACTTTATAAAGGACACAAACACAAAGGGTTTTCTTAACTTAAAATAAAAACATGCATAAAACATGAGCCCTCTTGAAGTATTTTGTGTATTTAACCGCCTCTGATCACTGACACCTCTTGCTCTGAATGACTGCATCAAAATGTCTGTGCTGCTGCAATCTTGAGTGTGCTGTTCAGGTGTGTATCTGTACGCTGCAGACCTACGATGACACAGCAGCAGCAGAACTGGAAGAAAAAGCAGGAGATAGCCAGTTCCACTGCGGGCCTGACAAAAGCCCACTGGGGGGCCTGATCTGGCCCCGGGGCCACATGTTTGACACCCCTGCTATAAAGGAAACTGCAGGCCTTAATATGCAAAACCTGAGTATGCTCTAGGCTGATTTTGCATTGAGCAGGGGTTTGGACTAGATGACCTGTATGGCCCCTTCCAACTCTGGGATTCTATGATTCTAAGGCTAACTTGTGCTCAGAAGCTCGCTCACCTCTTCTAAGCTCTGGATTTGATTTCAGTCCGCTTTGGCATTTTACTTCCCACTTGCATAAAGAACATTATGCAACAAGGGCGAAGGATATCAGATGGAACCAAAGTCCTTTTTTTTGGTTAGGGTTGCCAGGTCTGGGTTGATAAATACCTGGAGACTTCGGGGGTGGATCTGGGAGAGGGTGGGGTTTGGGGAGGGGAGGGGCCTCAGCAGGGTACAATGCCACAGTCCACCCTTCAAAGCAGCTGTTTTCTCCAGTGGGGCTGAACTCTGTCAGCTGGAGATCAGTTGTAAAAGCGGGAGATCTCCAGGCCCCACCTGGGGGCTGGCAACCCTATTTTCAGTTCACACTGAGAAGCAGGCCTTGATCTGGTTTTCTTCTTCAGTTTCCCGTGCTGAAATAAAGATATGATGGAAATTGCTTTGGAATGTTAAATATATTACACTGTCACCTTATTGCAGGGCTGGCCAAACTGCGGCTCGGGAGCCACATGCGGCTCTTTCACACATATTGTGCGGCTCCCGGCAGGGCGGCTGGGGAAGCGAAGGGGAGGCATCCCACCCCGATCGGTCTTCCCTTCCCCAGCCAGTGTTCC